TAATAGAATAGGATATTGGCTATGTAATAGTATACATGTGTTTATATGTTATGAAAATGGAAAATTAAAAAATATATTTTAAAAAATCTCTAGTCTAAACTGGATCAAATTAACAGTGGCGTAAACTGGAGATCATTACCGCACTCACAACCCAGCTCACGGGTGATTCCTTAGAGCTTTAAAAATCCTTCAAAGTTACCTATAAATCATTTCTTAACTGTGGATTTCCCATACTTAAGATAAACATTTTAGTGAAGTTGCATGTGAATATTTCAGTGATTTCCTCGGTGTATTGTTTCAGGTCCAAGATTCCTTGAGTAGCATTTCCAGTTAAAAGAGGTTGGAAAGGAAAGCCTGGGAGAGCTGTTGTCCCTCAAAGTAGAGGTACCAGATTACATGGATTAGTGGTCTCAATCAATTCATATGTAATTGAGAAAGGGATGCTAGAAAGGTAGATGATGGTCCGGCTCTATTAAATTTTCCAAGATCAAAGAGGTCAGCTGTAAGAATTACATTCCAACCTTGACTGTGTATTTCTGTGGTGTGCAGGCACTAAGATAAGAATGCTATTGTGAAATAAACTTGTTTAAATCACTCATTAACAATGCTAACAGACTGCAAGCATGCATAGAAATATTCATTATAATGCATTACAAGGGTCAGCGTCCCCAAAACTACACATCTTGTAAAACCTTTCATTTATCTTCACCAAAACCTTTTGTAAGAAAAAAACAATATTTTAAAACGTTATAGTAAAGTGCAACAATGCTACTAAATTCCTTAATGGGGCATATTCTCTTTCCAAATTACCTCCCAGGTAGTCTTATGGGTTTTAAACTGATCGTTTTTTTCTAAATCAGAAGATGAACCTGAGCTTTTTGTTCCAGTGTCCCAACAAGATATACATACGTCATATATATAAATTTAAAATTGATTTTTTTTGGTGGTATCTAAATTGTTCTAAAAAGTAATTTTCTGTATCTATAATTTTCATCTACAAGTGAATTGTATGAAAGGGATCCTAATTTTAAAGAAATGAGACCATTTTTATATAACAATGTATAGGTCAGTGTTTCTCAACCTTGGCAACTTGAAGATGACTAAACTATGACTAAAAAGACAACAAATGGCAATTGTTTTTGTTTTTTCCTGTGTGATACAGCATCTATTTCAGTGTTTCTCAACCGTGGTTTGCTGGCTGGGGAATTCTGGGAGTTGAAGTCCGGACATCTTCAAGTCGCCAAGGTTGAGAAACACTGGTATAGGTGTCTGCATCTGGATTCAACCACCACAGAGAGTTTAGAATTGTCCTGACTTGTATCTAACAGATGTGACCATTTGAAGAAAAAGAAGACACAATTCTAGGTTCCATCCTTTAGTTCCAAGGTTGCAAATCATCACAAGAGCTGTCTGAGGATTAATTCATTAGCCTGAGGGCCACAGTGTTGAAGACATTGATCAAAGAGTCACCAGCGAATTGAAAATGAAGAATATCACAGCAGGCCATTTGACGTATTTATTTTTAAAACTCTACTGTGAATTAGCTTTATATCTTTCTCTTTCTTTCTTTTCTGTCTTTCTCTTTCTTTCTTTCTTTTTTGCATTTTTTTTGGGACATTTGTCTTACAACATTTTTCATTAACTAGGATAGCAGCATAAAACCCTTGAACCTAATCATCTGAAACCTGGCAGATTTATCCCCTCAGAAGT